TCCGTTCAACAGCTCATTTAACTTGGCACGGGAAGGATTTAGCGAACTTGCTAGTATGAATAACGCGTCTCATCAATATACATAGCGATAAATGATGGCTAAATTACGTAATGACATATGCCGATGTTCGATAATTGTGCGCCATGTGATTAATTTTGTGCCGATGATACAGCACGCGGAAGCACGAGTGGATCGATCCCGCTTTATAATCGCAATCTACTATACGCATACTTCAATCGACACGTATAATCGGTGACAAAAATAATCTTGCGTATCGCTTTATGAAATAATGCGTTCTCTATCGAGCAAGAGACAGACAATTGTAAAAATTTTATTTTTATATCTTTATCCATTTATTCTAGAATTTATTTGGATCAATTATACGTAGATTTATTTATTTATTTCATTATTATTATATATATTATATATATTTCATTATTATATATATTTAAAATTTTTTTGATCCTTGGTATAATTGTAAAAATGTTTGTTTTGTTTGCGAGTTACATTTTCAGAAAAGGTGATAAAATTGGGAGAATTACATTCCTAGGATGAGAAATCTATTAAATGAAAATATATTTTTTTACGATTTCATAAATTTTCCATTTTCTTTCCGGAATGTGTTCTTTGCGAATGCACCTGCTGCACGTTGAATATATGCGTTTCTCGCAGAATGGAATGACGGCCGGTTATGCTCTGTTAACACCCACGGCAGTTCCATTCCCGGAGGAAACACTTAGTTAGCAATCGATATATCAACAATATTCGCGCGCTCCATGTAACTCTCGTAATATATCGCATTATGCAGCTATCTTAGAAATTTTACTATACAATATTTATTAAATTGGGGCAAGTTGTCAATATTTAAGACAAAAAGTTAAGAAGTGAAAAGAAAGAAAATTCGAATCATATTGTATAATTATAATATCATGCCAAAAATTAGAAAATTAAAAAAAAAGAAAATTACAATAATTAATCTTGCACTTATTTATCAACGCGATAAATTTCCGTACGAAATATTGAACAATAAAATCGAGAAAAGAGCCAGTTAAATGTCACGCGTTTCTAAATCTAGTACATTTCACATACATTCGCTAAATATACATTATTCGGTTACGAAATATTCTCGTATTATTGTGAGGCAAAACAGGTGTGTTGGTTCGAACGGAGATCGATCGATGTCATAATATCTCCGGGACTGTTTTCGGTTTTCGCATGATCGCCGTGGGCGAGAGACGGCGAATCCGGATCCCGGAACGTGCGAAATAACGCGCTCGCCTCCTTTCTCGACGTGACACAAGGTGGGAAATGTGTCCTCGCTGGCACACATGTACGAGGCGTACGTACCTACTCTCGCACGCGCGCACACATACGCACCTAAGAGTGCCGCTTCTCGACGGCGTGTCGGACGCACGTGATGTCACATAGAAAGAGAGAGTCGTTACCGTTACGCAATGCCGGCCACGCCGCACCGGGACACGCGTCTGCGCGTGCGCGCCTGCGAGAAAGTTGCGTGGCCCGGCCAAACGCTGACCTTACGTACTGTTCGCACATGTATGTACACCTACACATATGCGCTCGCACAAATGTTCCCTAGATCCGTTTCGTTCGATATGATTTTTGAATAATTTCGAGCGACATGTGATAACGATAAGTGTGCTTTTTTTCTTCATTTTAACCGCAAGAAAATGTACTTTATCATTTTTATTAAGTTAGCTTATCAAATGCCAAATCCAAATGATTCTTTTGAACGCATGCAGATATCTGAAAATGCTTCTGATTTTACAACTCTGTCTATTTTCGATATTATTTATGAGAAGTGCTAACAAATATTACATATGCAAATAATTCTTTGAGTAGAATTTTGACGCGAAAACATTTTATGCGAAATAATAATTGTATAATTTGTTCTAAAAGAACGTATGTAAAGTGTTACAAATATAAAATAAGGTCGGTCAATTTGATTTTTAAACTAATATAAAATGATAAAGTGATAAATACTTATTTGAATATGAATACTTAAAGAGAGAGTCGATGAGTATATTTAAAATTGATGATGCTGAATATTTGCTGGCCAGTATTTCCTTCCGTTGCTCTAAGAATAATTTCGCGGTTGATTTTAATGCTTCGTTTAAAGTAATTAAAACCGCGCGATGCGTATTAATTTCTAATCAGATCAAATAGAACTTGACAAGCGAGCGAAACTTGTCTCGGGCTTTTAGAAACTATGAAAACCGGAACGTGGTAATGGTGATTGCGGTGAAACCTTGCTGATGCGTCGATACCAGCGGAAGTCGGCTTCTGGTTCTTATGGGTGAAACGAGCAGGAAGCGCACGGAAGGTGAAAACGCCGTGAAAACTGTATATCCCGTTGATCGAGTTGAAACGAGCGATCGATGCGACTAGACACCCACCCCCTCTGTCGAATTCGAGGGCGCGAGTCAATGCCAAGTAAGGTCACTCTACTCGTTTCCGGCAGGGGAGTAAAATTTATCTCCCATTCGCGAGAAGCTGCGAGCCTCTCTTAAGATTTATCTCGGTCAATCGTTTCAAGACGTGATGAAATCGGAAAGAAACTACGTCTCTTGACCCGCTGAGATAAAAATCCCGTCACTTTCTGACTTTCAGAGACACGATGGTTAAAACTAATCGCAACTAATAATAAGATAAGAGTAAACTTTTGACGTTTCGACTTCAACCATGACCGTCCCTCTCTTATGTTCGCGGAAGTAGACGGCAGCGAATAACAAAAGATCGTTGAGAGTCGATTAAATCTTCACGCGTGACTCGCGCACGTGATGAAAATGCGAGACGACACATTCGGCTGTCCGTTGTGCCTGCAAAGGAATGCAGCAATAAAGTGAAGCGACGAGGTATTTTCGAACAATAGCGGGCCTAACTTCCGGGAGCCTTGAAACCGTTTGGAAGATATTTTATTTATTTTCTTTCGCGGTAGGTCTCTAAAAATAAATCCCGCGCATATGTCTTGTCAGTGACTCTCAGAAAATTTCGAATAAAAAAAACAAATGATTTACGTTTAATATCAATCTCTTGTAGCGACACGCTTCCTTAAGAAGAAGAAGAAGAATGAATGGACGATTTGAATGAGATAACGATATATAAGATTGAATTCAATAATAAATTATATAATTAAAAAAAACGATATCCAATTGACTTGACTTGTTGCGATGCTAAAATGCAATCACGATTTCGAATCGATTCACGAATCTCGGGCCACTATGGCATCATAATCCCATCGATTCGTACGTGAATGACTTTCGTAAGCACTTGTAACGTAATATTAAATATGTCAAAGCTGGCCTAAAATTTCAGCAACTATGGCAATTTTGCCAAAATAACGCGATATTTTTATCGGTGTTAAAATCGAGTCGATAATTTTTTAATTTTTGCGCAATGGATATTAAATTTTCTGTTGCGATTACATGACGCGACAATTGGAGGGAAAAAAATGTTGCATTCCTCGTTCCGCGGCGCCTCACAAATAACTCGCATCCGCGATTATTGTAATGTTGCGGCTCTTACGAAGCCGCAAGGATGTGCAATTTGTATAGCGGAGGTGAATATTATTCATGGGAATACCGGTCTCTGTAATCTGCTGTACCGCGACGCGCATTAAATGCCAGTTTTTCTACGATTTCATGCGTGATCTTTAAGCGGTCCTCTCCAATTTACACACATTGCATCAATACGGCGATGCGTTCTTATGTGGATATCGAAAGTGAAAATTTTTACTTTGCAAACTTGTTTAGTCTAGCGTTACCTGCACTTTAATATTACCTGCTCTTAATTCAAGTTGGTACAAAAGTTGTGATAGATCGCAGAAAATTACTAGATAATATTATAACAAAATTTACAATGATCGATAAAAACTACTGTGAGCAACTTACGATGCTTTAAAAAAACTCATAATAGATAAAAATTGAGTAACATAAATCGTTATCGTGTTTGATATATTGTACGATTAAAATAAATGTCTGATGGAAATTTATTTCGACCGATTATTTTCTTAATCTATCGTAACTCCAAACAAGTTACAAGACATCCGCATGGTTGCATAACGACACAATCCTCGCCGACCTTCCGAGAGCGAGGAGACGAACTCGTCTCTCGGATCCTCTTCAAGAGTTTGAGCTCGCGAGGAAAATTAATCGATCGGATCGGTCGCTGCCATTTTCTACGGTGAATTTTTCGGGTCCGCTGCCGCGAGAAATTGCTTAATGAAGCCGCGCCGCATGAAAGGAAGGTAGAAACGTTGCAGTGGGTCAAGGAGAGACGCCGGCTTTCACTTCCTCTCGACGTGAGCTCCTCGAGAGAGAGACCGCCTCCCGAGTCGCGGTCTTTTTTTCCTTCTCCTTCTGCGTTTTTCCTTCCCCTCCGTGAGAATATTTATCCGCCTATGATTACGTTCGATTATTTCGATCGACGGGTAGATGCGTTTACGGTAAAATCTTAATGAACGCTTCCCCCAAATTGATCCACTTAACCTGGACCTGAACGAGGGATCCGCGATATAATGCACGGGTCACGATAAGCCGCTTGTATCTCGTATAGCATTATTTCTCATTCATTAATGAGGAGTCGGTGCTTCGCTTTTTGTAAAGCAGCGAGCAAAAATTATGCGTTTTAATTTCTGAGATAAAGCGAATCGTTAACTCCCTCGTTAAGTTTTGATATTTATTATTACAAAACCCTTCTTAATATTACCGATATATTTCATCACAACGAAAATCGGATGGTTATTATCTCCCGAGTGATTATTATCTTGAGATAAATATCGTTAGAACGCGAGGCAACTCGACTTTGTTGTATAAATAAAGTTGAGGCAAAGCGCGAAGAAGGTAAAGAAAAAGTTGCGTAAAGAATAAACGATATTTTGTCGTTCGTTTAATTCATTCAATGTATTCCTTTAGCTTAGAGAAAGATTAACATTTCTAATATCGCTCGTTATTTAATCGATGTTATCGCGTTGTCTGTTGCAGTGGATACCAGGGAAGTCCAGCCGCACGACACGGGCGAGAAGGAACAATTAGGCCTCGCGAGCGTGAAAGTAGAGCCGGGATCCACCAGTGCGACTACCACCAGTAGCACCCGTCTGCTCCATGGCATCCTCTCCCAGCATCCCCAGCAGCACAGCCTGGGGCTGCAGAACGGATATGGCCGACACTTGGCCGGTCACGCTCAAATGGGCCAGCCGCCTTACACTACTGCCGCCACGAGTACGCCAGGTAAAGCATTCGAAAACATTGATGAGATTTCTGGAGTACTGGCAGTTTATAGATTGCAGCAGATTTTCAATCGATTATGATTATGATATAATTTAGAATATAATAAAAAGAATATAGGTTTGGAAAGAGGATAATGAGAAAAAGAGCTTCGATAAATTTCTGAACGAACATAAATGACATAATAGAAAAACAAACATGATGATAGATTTATAATAGAAAAAATATATACGACGATTAAAGAAACATAAAACAAAGAAAGTAACATACATAGTCGCAATTTTTAGAAAATGTAACATCTCTTCAAGAGATACGTTTTAGAAATTAATCGATGTCGATTCTTAAACAGTCTTGAAACGAGCAATTTAGAGAAAATTGACATGTCATTAAAAGCACGTGTCATGTTTTTTCTCTTGTCTTAAGGATGTTTTGTATATTTCAGAATATTGAGAATTTAATGAAAATTGTACAGAATGTCCTTACATATGTTTAGAATCTTCAGTACAATTTTTAAATTGATTCACTAAGGTGTTCACAAATTATAAGAATTTTAATTTGCATCGAATTAATATGTGTTCTTATATGGGAAACGTATAACCACGTCGATTCAAATGACAAAAACACATGGAAATAATATTCAGAATTTGTTTAAAATTTGCAAAAGTTTAGATACAGGGGAAATATTTGGTCAAATAATATTATACAAGTATTAACTGGTTAAAAAGATATTAAATATAATTTAATAAAGTTAGCCATGTATCTGTCACAAGGCAAAATTCTCTGCCAAAAGTTAATCATTTCGATTAACAAAATTCGGAATATTTCAGTAAAAACGCAATAAATATTAAAAAATACATCTCTGCACTGTAGCTAAGATCAAATTGTAATATTCTACTCTTCACAATTTCTTACTCAAAATACACCAAAAGTGGATATATTCATCAATATTGATTTTCAGCTACTTTTTGCTGGGATTGTACATACAAAACATCCTTAAGCTTGAATGTAACAATATACAATGCATCTAAAAAAATTTCACAGATATTTGCATTGCGAAAAAATATTACATTCGATCTGAAGAAAATAACTAGTCTGATTTCTTGCGGATAATTGATATTTATGTAAAATAAAACGATTTTCGTTAAGATGATTTCCATTAATTGGATCACGATAAATCGAGGCGCGAGAGCTCTCTTGTAAATAACTTATTATCGAAGCGACAATCGCGGATTATTCGAACGTTTCGTCGGATAATTGCATCGTCGATCGGTCGTCCTACTATTCGCTAAGTAACCGAAAAGTAGAACAATCAGACAATCGTTACAGCGGTTAAGGAGAGGTGAGAAAACTGATCGGCGCGATTTCTTCAGAACAATTATAATCGCAACACGCGACGCGGAAAGCAATAAACGAAAACAAAGTAAACATTTCCGCGTTTGTAGCCTGAAATTGGGATTAGTGGAGCAACGTCGATTTCACAAAAGTTGCAACGATGCAACCAACAAAAGCGCTCACTGTTGCATTTCGCCAGGAATTCGGGCATAAATCGATTCTTAAAATACTCGATCCGGGTCGTTGCATAAAGCAGCGATCGATCGAATTCGCGAATATCGGTTTGCATAACGCGACGATGACGATGACGGTGACGATGACGAGACGACGACGATGATGAGAGAGGGAGGACAGGAGCGAAAGGGAGCAATGACTCGTGCAGAACCCTTTAGGACCCGTTCGAGACGGTTAGCCGCGCCGAGAGGGAGGGGAGGAGGAGGGGAACCGTGGGAAGAGCGAGCGATATGCATACCCAATGACCGGATGACCTTCGCCCGTTGCATAAAGATGCCTTTAATTGACGGCGCGCGCGAGAACACGTTCGATAAAGCCGAGCGAGCGAGCGAACGAGCTCTCCGGACATCTCGATGGGACATCTAATTTGTTTAAAGCGACGCGCGGCTTTAATTTAGAGTCTATCGAACCGGTCGCGATCGGCTCACTGCATAATAAGAATCATGATTCGATAATTGCGACATATTTAGTGTAAATTATTCAATTCAGTTGTAGATTGATGAGGATTATATCGAAATTTTTGTAATAAAACACGCTCTTAGGATACTTTGGAAGAAGAAAAAGGCAAATTATATTGAAAGAAATATGCAGGAAAAATAAAAAGGAGAAAATTAAAAGTGAAATAATTTTATACAAGAATGATTGATAAACCCACGGCTATTTTTTATGATAATAATTTTAAAATAATATTTAGAAACAAAAATAAATACGTTTCCTTTTTCTTACGACATAAATATTCTTTTAGCCTTGATGCATAGAACTTGTTTAACGAAGTAATAATTTCGCGATAACGCGAGACTCTTTTTTTCAACACGCGATAGTCGAGCGCCTTTCATTTATCGTGCTCTTTTGCGTGAAACGGTCTCGTCGGGAGATTAATCGACGATGTCGCGCTTTATCGCCAGCCCTAAACTCCGCCGGCTATTTATCACAGAGGACGCGTCCCCTTCCTTTGTTTCATGCCGTCGTCGACCGGAAGCAGGAAGCGGATCACTGCCAGCAAGCCCAGCGGACAGCGGAGTCAGCGATGTCGAGTCCAGCACATCCTCCGGTGGCAACGAGGACGCGAATCTCTTACTAAAAGCCAGGCTCAATCCTAATTCGTCCCTCCAGCCAGGTCTGGCATCTCATCACTCTCATCTGTCATCCGGTGAGCTCGATCTTTATCTTACGCTTATCGACCGTTCACTGAGAAAAAAATCTGGTTGAATTAATTAGAAATCTGGTAGATTCAATTAGTATGTCTGTTGGAAAATGGACGAATCAGAATTCCTTTAGGAATTATCAGAGTACGATTAATTTCTTCCTGTTAAATTTACCAAATTCTCTTGATAATAATATTAAATTTACAAAAATATTAAATTTACAAAAAAATGGCATCACTCTGTCCATGTTTAGTTGATATAACAAAAAGTATTATAGATCCAACTAGAAAATGCTAACCAAATCTTTGTAGTAAAGTCTATTAAATGTTCTAGTTATAAAAAATCGAGTCTTATTTTAACTTTAATAACTAGAAGTTCTGCTTGGTTTAACCAAAATGCCTTCTATCAGATACGTCTTGTTGATGCAATCAGACAATTTTTCTCAGTGTTGACATGCTTTTAACGTATGTATTCGAGATAAATAATTGTAAGGAATTTTAGTTAAAGCATAATTGCCCTTATCTTTCTAAAGATCTCTTATTAATCTCGTATACATAATAGAATCATTAAGAATATTTTTCATAATAGATTCTCCAACGACTTTATAAATTTCTCATCGCGATCTATTTCTCTAGAAAAAGTATAATTGGAAGTCTGATATTAAAGCCAAAGACAGAGATTTCTATTTAAAATGTTAATTTAAATTGATAAAATTTAAGACATTCGAAAATGCGATTACAAATCTTCCGCGTCTGGCGAGATGAAATATTGACGAGAGATCAAAGCTAAATTCGTACGACAAGTTTTTCGAGGGAACACGTACTTTTTTATCGAACGTCTGTATCGATTGCTCGACAGCAGCACTCGGCAGGACGGCCTGCCACAGCCCCGGGGTTTACCCGTCGACAGCGACCTTTCTGCCGCCCTCGTATCATCCGCATCAGCATCATCCCTCCCAGTATCATCCGCATCGGGGGAGCTCGCCGCATCATCAGCACAGCAACCACACCATGGGTTCGACGATGGGGCCGCCCCACCATCACCACCATCACCATCAAACGCAGAGTCTACAGCACTTGCATTACCGTCAGCCACCCTCGCGTAAGTTTGGACTCTCCATTTTTTATGATTACGTGTCGTTGTACACAATTGGCAATTTTCCGCGAATATTCGGCTTCTCTTAATGGTACTTTTAACTGATTACGAACAATAGGTAAAATAATGACAATAATACTTCTTAGGCGACTCGGTTAAATTTTCGGGTTTTCAGTTGTAAAAATGTATATTCAAAATATACAGTAAAATAACGCGCGCTTGATTTGTTTAACAGATCTTGAAATTTCGAAATGTCACTTCTTTTATGGATAGAGCGATCGGAATAGATTCTCTTTAGCGATTTACGGATTCGGATTAGATTTACAACAAGGCGGGCCTTTTCTTCGACCTCATTTTTATCGGTAATTTCGACGATAACGTATGTATCTTCGTCCTCATCGCGATCGATCGACGGTCGAAGGGAGGGGAAGAAAGCGTTTGAAGCAGTGATTTCGCGTCGGTATCTCGCGTCTGGCATCTGAAAGCTGAATCGTCGTGACGATTCTCGGTAGCCCGAGTTTATTTCGACTCGGTAGAGATATCGATTCGATATCGCCTCGACCAACCAGACGCGATGACGATATCGAATCGATAGCTCTACCGAGTCGAAATAAACTCGGGCTACCGAGTCCGGAATATTCCCGCTTTTGACGGATTAGCGAGCATAAATGTAAAAGACACGAATACTGTGAGAACGGTTTAGCGATACCGCATCATGGTTTTAATCCTCAAAACGTCAGTCTTTCGTCGAACATGGTGATATAAGCCGCTTTAGTTTATTTTTTTGGCGAATGTATGCCGAAGGGGACTGTGACAAAAAAAAAGTATTACCGCTACCGATTCGGTGACTAGGTGAATATTTATATACCTTCGTTGAATATGTCAAACGGCTTGTAAAAGCTGATTGACGTGAGACATGATGCGAGAAAAACTTGAAAACGGCCGATTTTTTCGTATCCAATTTGGCGAAACGCGCTGCAGCTCGCCAATAAAATAATTGTGAGATGCGCAAATGTCTATTAATATTATACATGTTTCATTTTTAATATATTTGGAAACAGTTCTATTTCTTCTCATTTTCAAAATAGCAAAGATCTTTAAATATTTATATATTTATATCTTACCAATTGTATACAATTTTAAACATACAAAGTGATTGACACTTTTAATTCCTCGCCAGAATAGAATAATCCGATATACACAGTTCTCCTCTTATTAAACAAAGAAGCTCTGTACAATACCCACCCCCAGATGCAAGACCAACTGACGTCAAAAAATCCTAGATACACCGCAAAATTAAAGTAATTAAAGCAAACAAAATTAGTCCGTCGGAAAGATCTTCTCCGAGAAAGATAGTCTTTTTGATGAAAAGAGACAACAATTATTTAACCCGCGTGTCGCGATTTCAAAGGCCTGTGTGATCGTGGAACAGAAGTTGGAGCGAGTTTCTTGAACGAGAGCGCGAAGCGAGAAGGCAGGAAACGACGTCAGCCGCGATCTAGTCGAGGCTGAAACGAAATCGCGAGCGGAGAACTCGCGGCAGATGCCAAGTGAAAGGATTCGCTTTGTCGTCGCGCGGGAAAACGTTGAAAAGTGCAACTCGCGAGCGTCGCCGTCGCCGTCATCTCCGATGCACGGCTTCGTCTCGTTCTCGTGACCCACTTGCCGTTCTCTGATTCGATGGCCCAGATTCGCTTCCTGCTGCTGCTGCTGGAAGCATTTCCGTCTACGCTTTCGCGTCTTACGATCGCGCGCAGTTTTCTCTTTCGATGCCTGTGATTGTCGAGAGCCATCGTTTTTCTTCGCGAGATACAGTCATGGGATTAGATATTCTTCCATTTTTATTTACATCAAATTTAATTCGTTCAAAGTATATCTTTTTAAAGGAAACTTTTTAGTAAAGTACAATATTCAATTTTAAGCATAATAATTTAATTTATATAGGGCGTCTATCTATTCGCTGGAAAATCTGGAATTGTTATGAATTTTTTTTTATATCTGGAAGAATCAGGGAATTTTCATGAACTTAAATTTTTTGAAAAATTTTACTTGTATCGTAAACAATCGACAAATGAAATAAATTATGTGTGCGTTTAAAATATATTACAAATATATTTTAAACATATATCTGTCTCTGTTTATACTTAATAATTTAGCAAAATATTGAAAATACAGTGCATATTTTTTTATTGTAATTTTTAGTGAGACGAAAATGAATATGTTATCTTACGAAAGCAGGAAATATGTGTGTTTATCTTGTGAAAGTTACGTCAGTTTTTTTCATACATTTGCAAATCTAATACTAGAAACTTAAGTAGCTCTGTATTTTTCCTTTCGTATGTGAATGAAAAATATTAGAAAACATACTTTAGAAAAGTATAAGAAAATCTCTTTAAAATATCCTTTTCTGAAATATTAAGCAAGTTGTCGATTCTAAAAATCGAGGACGCGAGCGGAATAATACTTAGCGGATACCGAATATTCGCGCGACGCTAGTTTTTATTTGCGATTTATTTGCACGTTAAGGTGTCGCGAAAATTAATTATGTACGCAAACGATGTGTCAATACGCGTCGAGGGCCGGTATAATTAATTAGAACGCGATCGGCCGATCGGAAGATTACTCGGCTGCGATTTCGCAAAATCTCTTCATTTTCGCCATTAAACCGGTTCGATTCGAGGCAGCAGCTGATCTCGACATCTGGCGCCGCGTGATTCTAAGAGACACGGCCGCTCTCGGATATCGGCGCCAAGGTTGATTTCTTGACGAGCTCAGGTCGCGGTGGAAAGTGCCGAGGCTTTACAAATTGCGGTGAAATTCTCGGCGTGCGAGCGCCGAGTATCAATTATAGCCGCGAAAAGAAGAGAAAAGAGAAGCGCGCGCCGAACGGAAGCGGCAGGATTGCGTTTTATTATCGTCGTAGGCTGCAATTCCCGCCGCGTCGGTCGACAATGAGATCGAACTTTCCCTAATTGAAAATATCCCGCGCACGAGATGCCTTTAACCTCCTTTTTACGACGTCGGCGGAAATGATTGCCGTGCATCTCCGCCTGTACCTTTAAATGCCACTTCTGGCTGCGCCGAGATCGATGTTTACCTCTCTGCGAATTGCAATCATTCGAAATATATATTTACGCTAATAAGTGGATCTTGATAAAAATTTGCGGTTCGAAGTAACGAAGTCTTTCTTTTTAATAAATGCTATTAATAATCAGCAATTAATTTATAAAACTTAATTTAAAAAATGCCTTGAAGATAGAAATGAAGCATAGAATTTTAATATTTGTGTAAAATTTTTTTTAATATATTATTCTCTTCGAGATTAAATGAAAAATTATATAAATTGCCGTGGAAAATGTTATAGTCTCTCTCTCTCTCTCTCTCTCTCTCTCTCTGTTTCTCCCATATTTATGTTAATTTTCTCATCTGACAATAAGAGAAACACTTTAGTTTCTTTCTTATATGAAAATATCCTTATTCTGAAAATTCGAAATTATCTCGTTCGTGATTGAATGAAACAGAAAAAGAGAAAATTTATCGATAATCAAAAGATGCAGGAGTAAAACTACGTAATAAAGAAACTTTTTCGAATAAAATAAATTTTGAAAATTCGAAGCTTGCGCTTTACTTTACTCGCATACTTGAGGGCATATATTTTTCCATTTTTTCCTCTTTTCGCGAGAAAGGAGGACGCCGCTATATAAAGTTTGGGAAAGTAAAGGACAAAAGTGCCGTAACGACACTGCGCCTCGAATCGCCGCGCCGAGTAAAAGTGTGCCAGATTGTATAATCGAACGTGAATAAGCAAAATGTTACGCCATAGCGATTTGGTAACGTCGCCGGCCCCCTCCCTCCCCTTCTTCCCTTCCCGTCCGTCGGGCACGGCCGTGTTCCCATTGCGGTAGGCGAAACGATTCGCGCGGGCGGCGATGGTGGACAGGAGAAAATTCAACCTGTTAAGGACAGAGAGGGAGGAAATAATATTCCAAGTAAAAAAAAAATATTGACTATATTTCCTGATTAATGTAAAATATAATAATTTTATTGAACGACTAGACGATTGATTAATTAAAATATTAATTTTACGAGTCGGAAGTAAATATTTCAGACACGTATAAAAAAGTTGGAAATAAGAGACAATTAATGAGATGCTTAATTTAGTTGCGACAAAAATTAGTTTAATTGTAGATTTAAACGAAAGAGATTGTTGATAAAATTCAACGCGAGGAGCGTTCCAGATTTATATTTGACTTAAAATTTTCGATCAGCTGATTTGCATCTGTGCAGAAACACTGTGCTTAAATTCGCGTTGTTCTCGAGAAGAAATAACGATAACTATAGCTGATAGGAATAAACTGTGGTTTAATGGAATTCTATTCATGCTGATGAGAGAATCCCTCTTTCTCTCTCTCTTTCTCTCCCTCTCGAAAGCGAGAGCTTATGCGACGCGCTGCCGCGTCGAATAAATCTCTTCGGGATTCGGAACCGGCCACTGCACCGCGAGAATTTACGCGCTGCCAAAATTGCAATTTTCCGCGATTTCGCCGTAGCCAATTGGCCATCGGCCTCCTTTATCTAGATCACTGTACCGCACAAATGTTGCGTAACTCGCCGGTAAACGAGATGATGCACGACTCGAAAACGAGCTCGCGCTGTTTTCAGCTTTCAACTTTCTCCTCGACCAACTTGGAATCTTTATGCTCTTTGAAAAAAAGGAATCTGTACGCATACAATTACTCGCAATTATTCGCGGATTACGCGCGCGGGTATTGATCCATTAAATCGATAGCTTGCTGGTTCACGCCGGATTTGTTTATTCGGTCGACCGATCGATGAGCATGAAAGACCGCGTAGGAAGATCACCGTTTGCGTAGAAGTGGAAAACAGTCAGGGATGCTCATCGAGCGAACTGTTGGCCTATTCGTATACATCGTTTTCAGCCGTGTGTCGTGTACGGACCGGAATAGTAACTCGGGGAAAGAATAGCCTAGCGCGCCGCTATTTCC